TGCTGACACCTCAAAATGGTACAGGACTTTTTGATTCAGTATAGGCTGTTCTACCCACGTATGACAAAAAATGCGGTAGTCGCCAAACACCCTGTATATATATATATACATACATACATACATACATACATACATATACACAAATTCTACAAATTATAATTTATATATTTCAAAATATACTTTTTATTTTAGAATATGCAAGCCTGTGTCTCTTTTGGAAGCAGAATTCTAAACATAACAGAAGGAATATTGGGATTAAACAGTGGTGTACCAGTTATTGGAACTGTTGGACAATAGAACTAGATTACAGAAATAGTAAGGTGCTATATAAGATGATTTGCTAGTAATTCACATATATATTAAATTATCATCAATTGTTAATAATATTGTTCAAATCATTAAGATCAATATCAAGATGAAAAAATCAAGTGGTAAGACATACGCTTCCAGCCAAGAGGACAGTGAGAATGACAGTGACGTGACAGAATGCAGCATTGGAAGCAATTCCACCGCCGGTACTCATCGCAGCGACACGCCCACTCGTAGCGCCCGTTATAAACGAAAAGGTCGTCGCAGAAGTAAGACAGCAAAGTACAAACCTTGTACGGACAAACCAATGTACAAATTTTGCTGTAGTGTCAAGGAAGATCACGGGCAGCCCTTATTTGGCGTACAATTCAATTATCATTTAAAGGAAGGCGAACCGTTGATATTTGCCTCTGTGGGTAGCAATCGCGTAAGCATCTACGAGTGTCAACAGAGCGGAAATATACAACTACAACAATGTTACGCCGATCCAGACACAGAGGAGAACTTTTACACATGTGCGTGGACATACGACGACTCTGGGAAACCTTTGCTAGCTGTAGCAGGATCCCGTGGAGTTATCCGAGTTATAAGTCCTGCGACAATGACTTGTATCAAGCATTACATCGGTCATGGACATGCGATAAATGAGCTAAAGATTCATCCAAGAGATCCGAACATTCTATTATCAGCATCGAAAGATCACGCTCTAAGACTATGGAACATCAAAACGGATGTGTGTATCGCGATCTTTGGTGGCGTGGAGGGCCACAGGGATGAAGTCCTTAGCGCTGATTTCGACATAAAGGGCCAAAGGATCATCTCGTGCGGAATGGATCATGCTCTTAAGTTGTGGTCTTTAGAGAAGCCAGACATGCAGGACGCGATAAAACAATCCTATCATTGCAATCCCACCCGCAATGGCAGGCCCTTTGACTCAATACTGCAACATTTTCCGGACTTTACCACTCGTGACGTTCATCGAAATTATGTGGATTGCGTGAAATGGTTCGGCGACTTTATCCTGAGCAAATCCTGCGAAAACTGTATTGTATGCTGGAAACCGGGTAGACTTGAGGACTCGCAGTTGCGCAATGGAGAAACGAGCGCGACGGTTTTACACCGTTTCGAGTTTAAGGAGTGCGACATTTGGTTTATACGTTTCTCAATGGATTTCTGGCAGCGCACGATCGCGTTAGGGAATCAGGTTGGCCGCACTTATGTTTGGGATTTGGATGTAGATGAACCTGGGCAAGCCCGCTGCTGGTCTCTTCAGCATCCTCGTTGCACCGTACCAATTCGCCAAACTAGCCTAAGCCGAGATGGCTCCGTGTTATTATGCGTTTGCGACGACGCGACAATCTGGAGATGGAATCGTGATCATTAACTCTATTCAAATTCATTTTATCACAATTAAAAAGACGTGCCTTTTCATGTATAAGCTGTATTAAATATTTGTGCTTTTTATAGGAATTATTTAAATCTAGGCTAAACTATATCAGTCTATTAGATTAATTCGAAATCAAGCACAAATTCACTATATGCACACTATATACGTGTACAATAAAAAAAATTGCATTTCTAATGAATTGCCAAATGCATGATACATTTTTATTGCATAGACTGCTATCCGACATAGCTAGTTTTGTAGTTTATAAAGGAAAAGTCACGATTAAACTGCAAAAGTATTTTAGAATTATAAATGAATGAGATTATAGAAAATAGAAAATCGTTCTTGTATCTTTGCAAATATAGGTAGAAAATTGTTTTTTAAATATCTTTGCAATGTATTATAAATAATATTTATACAAACAGATTAGGTCTTATTTATGACTTTCGCACAGATTTTAAAACCTGTCCTGAAGTGACAAACTGCTTTTAATAAATTTTAATGTAATTTACGCGCTAAATGTAATTAATTTTAGATCTAACGGAATATGCTAATCAGATGCAAGGGCTAATCACTAAGCGCTCACTGAGAGATTGTAGTACTGTTTAACCCGGGAGCGATCGCGTACCGGTTATTTCGCCGTATTCTTCCGTTTTCTATTTATATCTTTCAATTTATTGGCACTATTATATTTTTATCTTTACATAAATGTTTGTTAAAGTTTTTTCGTATAGTATGTGAAAATAGATGACGTAAACACGCTTATATCTAAATAAAATTGATATGTTTGTAACGGTCAGTCTAAAAGACCGTAGCGCGCGCACTTTAGTGTTTGTCGTCTCCGTCAGTCTCCGCCATTATTATATATTGTTATAAATAAAAAATAAATTATAATTTCTCCTTATTTCGTTACATAATTTTAACAAATAAAAAAAGATAAAATTATAATTAAAATATATCATATAAATACAATTATTTTCAATAATTATTGCGTTCCTTTGTTTTTAATTAAGATTAATATAAAGCATTATCGGAACGTTTTCTTATTAATTATTATAATCGTACATGTATTCTCTAGTTATAATACACATATATATATATATATATATGCAAAAATACATTTCGGTCAAAATGACCAGGATGCGCCTACTCCCGGGTTAATGATATGTTTTTGCATATGAATCTTATTTGGAAATTGAGATAGACAACAAAAAGCTGTTCAACAAAGGAAAAGAAATAGTTAGCAGTAATTATACAATAGACGAATGAGTAGAATAAAAAAAAATTCATTTTTGTGTGCCACGTTATATATTATTCTTTCTTTGAAAGAATAATGTACATACATTTCTCGCGGTTTTTTGTTAAGTATTCAACAATAACGAGGGCTCGATGTAATTCGATTTTCAAGAATCGATTTATTTTTCAGAAAACGATCATTAATTAGAAGCGAGATTGAGGTAAGGTTAAGTTGTATATATGTGTGTGTGTGTGTGTGTGTGTGTGTGTGTGTGTGTGTGTGTGTGTGTGTGTGTGTGTGTGTGTGTGTGTGTGTGTGTGTGTGTGTGTGTGTGTGTGTGTGTGTGTGTGTGTGTGTGTGTATATCTGTCAGCACTTCGAAATATCGTTTTTGTATCTTTGAACATTAATAACATTAATAAATATTGTCTACAATATTATTAGGATTGAATTGCAAGTATTATATTTATTATTTCGATTATTTCGATGAAAAAGTGATTTTTAATAAAATACCATTTAAGTTTGAACAGTTGGCATTACCGGAATTACACGTTGCGAACTGTCATTCGTTTATACAAAAATTACGATATATAAGTATTTTACACATCATCAAACGCGAAACTAGAAGATGTACATTACACGTGTCGCGTGCTGCGATACTAAAAGTTTTAGATATATTATTGTGGAAAAAATATAACTAAACAATTATTGTAACCTGCTCAATTCTCAACAAGGTAAGATATTCTATTTGAAGTTCTTTGTGTAACAAAAATTGCAGAGTATGAGCATGTTTACTTCTCATGAAGAATGTCATACAATTGACAATTTACATTTACAGATGAGAACTATACTATTTTTGGGTCTATTTTTTATAATTGCTGCAGTGGAAGCTAAAGAGGTCGATCTAAAGCATTTGAAATGTTTAGGTGAAAATCAATATTAATTTCTGTGATATAATTCTATTTTAATAGTAATCATAAATTATAATAAGAATAATTTTTTTATACCTTATAGTTTGTAGAGCAGCTATGAATGAATTGGAAAACGAGGTTCTCAAAGCTAATCCAAATAAATTAGTTGATGTAGGTAATTTTAGAATGGATGCTGATGGGAATACTATACGTAAAAAGGTAAAAAGAAATGGAAAAAGAATCAAGAAAAGATAGATCATTAGTATTAAATTTATTAAGAATATTTTTGCTGCTTTTATGCATTTATAAATCCATTCCCTAGTTTCATATGTTCAATTTTCCTATACAACAGAGTTCTCTTTTGGATATCTTTTGAAGAATTGTGTTGTATAGGTTTTTAATATAAAATTCGATATTTATTATTTTAAGGTGCCGTTAGGTCGATCTGAAACACATATTACGATTTTGCTGGACAATATTTGTGAAAAACTGTCGGATTATGTGAGAGCAACGAGGAAGTCTGATAATCAATTAATGATCTTTAATCTTATGTCTCCATCGGGTGGTATGAATCCTATTATGAGCGAAGTAGATATAATTCAAGATGGTGATTTAAATAAGAGCCTCGAGCATTATGTGAGTGCTGTTTATTACGTTTTATATTTGCTGAAAGTGCTTTGCCATTAATTTAGGTTAATCGTTTGCAGTGCAGCGCTGTAGTGGAAGAATTTGAAGAAGATATAGTGTCATTGTACGTTAATGGCATACCCAATAAGAAAAAAGAACTTTGCACAAAGATCTCAAATATTTGCAATGAAAATTATGCCGATGAGGAAGACGACGATTATAGTGATAATGAAGTAGATAACGATAATTATGATTCAAGTTTTGACATAGATAGAGATGAATTGTAAATGCATTTGGAGTAATTTTTACAAAAATATTATTTATATACATAAGTACAAAGAAGCAGAAATAGTTGAAATAAATATTGTATAAATATAAATATCTAGTGATTTTTATTTTGTAAAAAATTCTATAAATAATGAATTTTTTTTTCTTTCAAATCTTTTGCACGCATTATATGATACAATTAGTTATTCAATATTTTACACTGATCTTAAATGTTCATTAAACACTATGTGCTGTGTGAAATATGCAGTATAAAAGCGTTGGAAAGATTATTAAGTAGATTTTTTAATATTTTTTAAAATATTTATCATTATAGCTATATGTAAACATGTTATATAGAAATTTATTATGAGTAAAATGGAAGAATTAAATATTTTCAAAATATATCGATAACGCTATCATTATCGTTCATGGTCTAATCTTCTAGTCAAATTTTTTCTGCCTCTCACTTTCACCGCAATGGCTGCGTTCAGCAAAGAAAACAAATTTGCAAGATTGTTATAAAATTCTTTAACACGATTGGTTGTATATTTAGATCCAGCAAAGAACTACCGGCAAGAATCAATAATATTAAAGAATTTTACAATTGCAAAATAACTTTTTTTGCTGAACGCAGCCAATATTTTCTAACGGAACGTGTTTTAGCGCGTGAATTTTTCAAAGCCACGCGAGTTTCTACAAGACCGACAAATGCGAATCTCGAAGATAGAGCTGACAGACAACGCTAACAACGGTCTCCTCTTTTCCAAGAGAGGAGCTCGTCAGTTGCCGTCAGTATTCGAGTATCTCGAGTCTCTCACTCCCGCTAATCCCGCTTGACTTTTCATGAAAAGGGGACGTGATTTAGAAGCGCGAGAGTGAGAACCAGTGAGGGCAGTGAGAACTTTGGTAGGTTCGAGGTCAGCTGTCTTGACGTATTTCGACTTTCGACTTTCGCGTGTGCGTACTGCGTGCGTGTTGTGTACGTACGTACACGCGTGGACAATGACAGTCGGTTCGTTCCAGGAAGTCCGGGAACGTCGAGAGCAGTCGAGAGCGCGCGTGAAGTGGTGAGCCGACTGCCGAGTCAGCCGAGTCAGCCGAGAGGAAGACTTGGGAAGACTCATCCGTCCGTCCGTCCGAACATATTCAACATATGATCGTAGTCCCGCCGAGGGCGCGTGTCGTGAAACGTGAACGTCGTCGGTTTCCGGCAATTGCGGGAATTGCGGGAATTCCGGGAAGCGCCGACCAGGCCGACCAGGCCGACCTTAGTCCACGATCCGATCGCGCGTGCGACTCGCGGTCCTCGCGGTCCTCGCGGAAATGACAAAGCGCGCCCCGCTCGCGCGTCAGCAGTGAAGACGAGAATTCGTTCGCGGACGAATAAATCCCGCAATCCCGGACGAATCGTTCCGAGCCGCCCCGCGCCCGAGCGAAAAGAAGCGGAGCGTGACTGCAAACATGAGTTCCGTCTGGAAACGCTTGCAACGGGTGAACAAGAGAGCGGCCAAGTTTCAGTTCACCGTTTCTTACCACGAAGTCACGTTAGAGACGACGACAAAGTGGTGAGTGACGCCGATTTATTCCTAGCCGAGGCCGAGCGAGAGCTTCCTTTTGCCGCGGCTTTCTCAAGTGTTCTGAAATCTCTCCTTCCAACAGAAACTAACACCAATATCTTTTTTTTTCGTCTATACGAAAATCTCTGTGTAACTGTCGTCTGCTCTTGAAAACAGGAGCAGTTGTATTTTACAAGAAAGTGATGGACTTTTTTTCTCTTGGAATAAATATTTTGGGAAAAAAATTAAGTGATATATATGTAAATGTAAATTACTGTCTTGCGTTTAGATCTTTATACGCTGTGCGTTGTGTTGTGTTTTAGAAAATATGTTTATGTTTATATGGCACAATTTAGATTATGATATCTTTTAATTATATGTGCACACATTTTGAAAAAATATGTATATGAAATAACTGTAATTTATAAGATTAAAAAGACAATTTTGTAGAAACATTATATTAGCATATATGTGTTCTAGCGAAAAGATGTACAAAGATAATAACGTTTTCTAGGAAGCCAAACAAATTGAGCGTTGTTTGGACAAGACGTAGTAGAAGAGTTAGTTCAGAACCCTTAGACTGGGAGCCATGTTTGAGTGATCCTTTGAAGGGTATCATCAGCTGGGCAGTCCCCGACAATCACACGGTTTCTGTGACACTGTTTAAAGATCCACGGACACATGAGCTGGAAGATAAAGATTGGACATTTGTTATCGAAGATGTAAGTACAGCATACTGATACACTTGCAGAAGGACGTAGCACAATGGTATATTGTTCTACTCTTGAGCAGGTGTCGTCGACGGGAAAGAGACGTCATGTGGCTGCCACTAATATAAATATGAAAAAATATGCAACTTTAGAATCTAGTCAGCAACAACTCAAATTGGACTTGAAGCCAACTTCTAAAAAGATTGTTAGCGCTACGCTAGAATGTACTTTGTCATGTGTATTTCTACGAGAGGGCAAGGCGACGTAAGTGTGCAGTTTAATTTCATTAACGTACTGCTAATTAATTTCATTAATTAAGCAAGGTAGTAAGCAAACACTTGTCCTTATATATATATATATATATATGCTGAATCTGTCTATAGATTATTTTAATCTGAAAATATTATTGAAGTGTGCTATTTCATTATATTTGGATTTGTTGATAAATACTTATTGAATAATTGTCTTTATTTTTCTAGGGATGAAGATATGCAAAGTATGGCTAGTTTAATGTCGGTTAATAATAACAGCGACATTGCGCCATTAGATGATTTTGATAATGAAGATATACCTGAAGATGTTGAGGAAGTGTCGGTAAAAAATTTGGACGAGTTTTTAGATATCTCCGCTCAACTTGATCTAATGACGAGCAGTCTTACTGAAAGTGAATTACCCAGTACTTCTATAAGTGGTGAGTGTTGATTCTTGCTCTTTTTTGAAACTGTGTGTCCACAAGTATATGCATCAAATATAAAATATATATAATTGCTATCTTAACTCTAACTTGTTGCTTTATTAATTTTATTATAATTTATGGAATCACACAAATTTACTAATAAAATATATAATGTATATACAATAGTGGCAAGTTTATCAAAGGATGATACAACTCCTGTAAATGATGGCGAGCATTTTATACGTGACATTAGTCTAACAGGAATTGGAGACTCTTTAAAGGAAAAATCACCCGTGAAAGACAATGTTGCCGTTGAAAATGAGTATGTACAATTATAGTATTATATTTTACAAAATAGCGTACGTGTGTGAAATACAATATTAGAATGACATAATCGGTACAATAACTTTAAATATTGTTTCCACAAATAGTTTACTATGCAAAAAGTTACTTTTTTATTTATTTATAAGAAACAGAAGAATGATTACTTTGTTACTATTCTATATAATGTAGTAAATAATGTAATTGCGAATTTAATATCTTTGCAGCAAAAACATTGAACACAGCACATTGAGATTGCCGCTGCAACCATTGGATCTTAAAAAGAATGACGCAAATGTTCCAAGACTGAAAGAGATTACTCCCGGCCAAGATTTATTGGAATGGTGCAAAGAAGTTACAAAGGATTATTCCGGTGTCAAAGTCACTAATCTAACGACATCTTGGAGAAACGGAATGGCGTTTTGTGCGATTATTCATCATTTCAGACCTGATCTGATGTAGGTGTTCTTACAAGGTTGATCGAATGTCGTAATTATACTAAAGTGTTTCATTCTTTGCGCTACTTTTTGTGGGAATAAAATGTCAATAGACATTCTTGGCGATATGCCAGTTATTTTATATTCGCGTATTCCATTAATAAACACTTTGAAATCGCCATTGTCTTACGTCGAATCAACTCGTGCCAACACTTTGACGATTATTTTTGATGCTGGAAAGGTCGACGCATTTGTGTATTTATAGCCGCATATGCAACAGACGTTTGATTGCGAGTTTCCTGATCAAATTGAATAATATACGAAATAATAATACATGAAATAAAAACTTACAGAAACATCGATTCTCTATTGCCGCACGATGTAAAAGGCAACTGTAAGAAAGCATTCGACGCGGGTGAAACTCTGGGCATACCCAGAGTTATTGAACCGGCTGACATGGATATATTAACGGTACCTGATAAATTAGCTGTGATGACTTATTTATATCAATTGAGAGCGCATTTTACCGGCCACGAATTAGAGGTATTTCAACGAAATTTTTTTTATGTAATGACTTGTGCAATTATTGTAGTCATTTTTTCTTTTTGCATAATATTACAGATAGCATATAATTAATAATATATTACCGTTTTACCAAAATTTAGGTACATCAAATAGGTAAAACAACGGACGAGTCCTCTTACATGATCGGCAGATTTAATACGGACAACAACACTGACGTGAGTGTTCAACTGTTTGGTCAAGAGATTATTAATTTACGGAAGAAGGAACAGATCGAACAAAAAAACAATAAAGCGGAGAATAACAGACGGTAAATATATTCTCAATAACATTTTGTGATCTATTAAATTACCAAAATCCAAAGTACATTTCTACAACAATCTATCAAAAGCAAGATTAGAAATTGTGATTCACTCTCGTAGGTCGAATCCGTTTGATAACAAGAAGGATGACATATGCATCGATTCATTAAAAAACAAGCTGCATTTGAGCCTGAACACGGATAATCAGGATCACGATCAATGTAACAAAGACAAATCGCCATCCAGCGTGAAGGAGGTCAAGGACATTATATTAGCCAGTTCAAAGAGCATTCTGGGCAAGGTGTTATCACCGACCAAAGAAAAATACTCGTCGAGAGAGAAGGTACGTAGAAACTACACGGACTGAGTTCGAGTTAATTTCGACGTTGCGATTATTCCCAAGAATTGTCTAGAGAAACGTCGCGTATAATATCCGACGGAATTTGCGCGCAAATTTTTTTTCGTTGTGAGGAAATGAAATACCAATTTACCGCAGAGCAAGTCTCCGCCGAGAGTGCAACAAGCGCAGCAACGTCCGATACTTATGACACGCCGACAATTAACCGATCCGTTCGGCTCCGACGACGAAGAGGAGAACATACAGATAATCGACGACAAATGGTCGCAATCGATCTCGCTTACCAAATCGCAAAGTCCGGTCCGTGATGTCAGTATATACGAGATTGCGCAGACTGTCGCTTTTTATGCATTTCTTCTGTTATACCTCTCGCTGCATTAACAATAAACCCATAACGCGCACTGTTACATTCTCCTTCTGTTATTTTTTTCCATCGGCGAATTATATCAAAATGCATTGTCTCAAGGTCTGTTCTTTTACTTTTTATTTATCATAAGCGAACAGATTGCTCTTTGTGACGGCAGGAATTACGCCTACATAATACACACATATAACTGCATGTAAATATGCATGAGAATTCGCGCATAACATTCCGCAATGCACGTGTAGATTTATACGGGCTGTTCCATATAAGCTTTTGCTTTAAAATTTCTTTAGCGTATATTTAATGTAATTTTTCAATAAATTTTAATGTGTTCATAACTTTTTAAATTATCAATATGTTGGAAAATTCTGTAAAAAAAAAAGTATCTCTAAGGGATAAGAACCTCACAAAACCTTGCACTTCTATAACAGAGTGTCAAATAATAATATCAGGAAAAGTCATAACTTATTTCAGTAATATTTAATTTTTTTTGCGGGTTTCACACTTTTTTCTTAATGTAACGCGTTTCTAGGAATAATACAAAAATTATTATATATGTAATAATATCTAATTACAAACAACTTGTAAATTTAACAATTTTATGTGACGTAATTATATTGTTGGTAATTATATTGTTAATAATCTGCATTTATTTATTTTTACCATGACATTTTTTTACCGCGAAAATACTGGTCTGAATCGTATATTTATGAAGAAGCTTTGCAACAATGTCATGACGTAACAAGGCTCTGCAAACGTATATAGGACGATCTTTTGTAGGACTCGGTAAACTCTGACGATAGAGGAAGTCGAGGTAGTTCCGAATGTCAAGGTGCATCGCCGCCGTATGGAGAACAACGGTCACATGTAATTAACAATATATTTGTTGTTAATATTATGTCGCTTTTAATGTTATATCATATCAATGTACCCCAGTAACAACGAAACTAAAGTCATTCAAAATAAACGAAAATTTTATGAATACTCAATTGTTGCACTAATTATTCACGTTTATCTTTTTTGTATTAGCCGTTAGTTAGTCGGCACGATGAATTGCGAGAGCGAGCGAGACAACTCTTGGAACAAGCCAGGAATCAAACGAAGCCATCCGGATTTGTTTCTGCTGCTATCAGTCCCGTTGAGGTTCTACAGTTTTATTCACAATAAAGAATTAATCGAGTATTTCTCAAGGAATGAGCGTCTATATGTATGTAATATATTTTGTAGACACAGAATGATGACGAGAGACAACAAAACTTGCGAGAAAGGGCGAGACGCTTGATTGCGGAAGTTAAAATGGGCGTCGCTGTGACTCCAAGTCAGTTGAATGATGATAACAATAGTGACAGACGATCGATAGACGATCAGAACAATAGTCCTAGACGCAGCATTACGCCATCGACACCCAGTGATCGAATCAGTATAAAGGTACTGCGATATCATTTACTTTTTTACACAATTATGTAACAAAACGATCAATTATAACTAATTTTTTAGTCTGAGTACAATGGAAATATACTGGGAAATTCAAGTATGACAGATGGAGAAAAGAAAACTGGCTCTCCTTTGTATTCCTTTTCCAAAATTATTGAAAGAATCTCGCCCGATAAAGGAAGTCCCGATAGAACTCCATATACACTTCGCGGGGTATGTTAACTTGCATTATTAATTTAATTTTGTTGGACATTCTATTAATTTTATTATATTTGCATTGCAATTTTATTAGGAAATGAATATTATTAATATTTAATTTTAATATAATGAAAGAAATTGTGAAACAAAAGTATTTTATAATGACGATTTATTTTTAATTCGATATGTTCTAGTTGGGTAAAGACATGACATCGTATATTCAAAATGAGCTTGAAGCACTTGAAAGAGAGCAAAATCAGATTGACATTCAAGCTGGCAAGCTTGAAAAGCAATTGAGAGCAGCCATGGAAAGCGATAACGAAGACGAAACGGAAAGACTGATGTCTCTATGGTTTACTCTTGTTAACAAAAAAAATGCTCTCTTAAGAAGACAAATGCAACTAAACATACTGTAAGTGATTCATTGATTCAAGCATGTTATTATGTATTTTTAATTTTTATTGAAAATAGAATAGGATGATATATTACAATAATCTCAATTCAATGGAACTTTTTATCTTTAGGGAGAAAGAAGACGATTTAGAGCGAAGATTTGAGCTCTTGAATCACGAATTAAGAAGCATCCTTGCAGTGGAAGATTGGCAAAAGACACCAGAGCAAAAAATGCGTGAAAATTTATTGTTGGAGGAATTAGTATCTATTGTAAACAAAAGGGATGAATTGGTGCATCATCTCGATACACAAGAAAGAGCGTGAGTGTTTAATAAATAGATATGTCTTGCGCGCTATTATATTTTTCTAAAATTATTAAATATTTCTTTCCCGAATAATTTTTTAGCATTGAAGATGATGACGAAATAGAGCGTGATTTATCTCGCGCTGGACTAGCTCAACGAAATAAAAATTGTGTTGTGCAATGAGGAGTTAATTATTTATCGTATTTTTTCCCAGAATTATTGTGCAGGTAAATTGTTTATATAGCATGTTTTGAAAAATAGAAAAATTAATAATTAATACAATCCGATTTATTATTTGAATAAGATTTCCATTCACGTTTGATTTATTTTTTTATTAATTCTAATTTTAATTATTTTGTTAAATAAATTTTAAATTAAATCTTTTTTATCTCTATTTGTTTTATTAAATTTTCTATTTTTATTAATAAACTTTCTGATCAAAACAGATTAACAGATAATTGTTAATGAAGGGCAATTTATATTAAGCTTTTTTTTTTATTTATCGCGTCTTCTGTTTATCAAAAATTCTTTTATAAGAAATAATAATATACAAGAATACGATTTTTTACATTTACAGGCATGACCCATGTTGCTGTGGAGTTGCCAAAAAGTCGACAAAATTAGATATTGAAGTCAAGTGTGAACATTCATGGTTTACAAACAGGTTATTTTTAGAGACTCATTTTTTATTATGCATTGTAGATTAATTCATCAAAAGATAGATCAAACAAATTTTTCCATTTCTTTTGTTTTTAATATAAGTTCGTCGATTCACGACGAAAGAAAAAACGCAATTAAACTTAGACACTGTCGAATTATTAGATATAAATGGTTAAATGATTTTTTGTATATTATCGAGCATAATATCGATTATATAATGTAAGCATTTTATGCTTCAAGTGAAATGTTGCGCGTTAATAGTTGAGACTGTGTGCAAATATATGACATGATACGTAACTATGGAATACGGAATCGTGCAAAACAGTTTACGAATCAAGAAGTAGATGAAAAGAGGTATAATTTATCTTCCTCGAATAAAATAAAAGTGAACGCAAATGCAAAAAAGCTCGAAAAGAATGCAAATTAGTGTGATAAAAATATATTTTAGCAAGATTCGAGATCTAATTACGAAGCTACTTAGTGTTATATATTTTAAAAGATTTTGTTTATACATATTATATAAATTAGTAGCTGGTTCAAGAAAGTATAAATTAAATGCAGTTCTTTCATGCAAGTGAACTTTAGACATTTGATTTATGTGAAAAATTATTTTGTGACTTAATTGCTAAGAGATTTAATATCGGAAAGCCAAAGAAAGTTAAAGCAGGCTGTTACGCAAGAACATGCAAGAGATACGTGAAGAGTAATTTAGTAAATGTATTTCGTGTTCATCGATCCAAATCGATTTACGGAAAATTAATTGTGAAACTATTGCGGAAAGTGGAACGCGTGGCTATAGTTTTCGTATTTGCATCAGTTGTTCTCATCGAGCATTCGCATGTACTCTATTTGTGCCATACGAACGAATTGATATACTTTTTACATCCTATTTGACGAATTTGTATAAATGTAGAAAAATGCGTTAAAAACAAATTCGCTAATCTTATTGACGGTATGAGATTTTAAAAGAAACCGTAGTAAGATTAATTTTTACTAAGACTAATTCTTATATGTGGTATCGTATATCTGCGTGTAATAAGAATATTATGTTGACTATAACTTTTTATAACAAAATGGTGCATTATATTTAAATGTTTTGGCTAACAACATACGTAAAGAAAAAAATAAATAAATAAATTCTTGATAAATTCGCTCGAAAAATTTTCGGCTTAACGGATCTCGAGGGCAAGAAATTATAACGAATGTTTATTACATTCGTTGTCCCGTTTGGAACGTTTTAAATGACAGAATAAATAATTATCGTCTTTTTATAACTGCTACAGATATGAAATTATTGACACATATTGTGACAAAAAGTACATTTTTAAGCACAATTGCTCCGTAAAATATAGAATACAAAGTAGGATTTACCTGCTGAAAGCAATATATATAAGATATAGATGTATATCATTTACTTCCCATAATACAAGACAAAGTTATTTCTTAACTCTTTGTTTCATTGTGATTTTATCGAGTGAAATTACAAATTTAACATTTAGATAATGAAAAGTAATTTTATATATAAAATATTCTAATTTTATATTGAAAATATCGTTTCGCTTTATTAAATATTTGTAGCACAGCAAAAATGTTCAAAATTCACAATTTTTGATGAAATTCATGAAATAAAGAGTTAAAAATAGAACATGTAGAAATTAGTTGTTTTACATATGTTACGCTTGACAATCACAATGAATGTCCAATTTATCCAAATTTTTTAACACCAAACAAATAATTAGAAGTTACAAATGTGTTTCAACGCTATTATAACTATAATTTAATGCAACATAATCTTCAAAAATTGAACATATGTTGTCTCTATATTAAATAATCTTTGTTTAAATAAATTGTGAATTTTGCATTAATACGTACTAACACAAACTATTTACAATTATTATTGAAACTTTATTACATTGTATGCATCGAAGATTGTATTATAATTTACAATATATGCATCGAAGACTGCGTGAATTCTTGAAATATTGGAACATTAATACAATTGAGGATAGAATGATAATTAATTCGGATATGTATATATAGATATATATATATATATGTGTGTGTGTGTGTATATATATATATATATATATATGTGTGTGTGTTCCAAACAGACCATATAAAATCGCCCTCCTGGAAGCATATATAATTATCGAAACACGCGATTAAAGTTTATGAGAATTATCTCCTCTTGATATCGTAATATATATCTATAATTAAATCGAGTATCATAGCACTTTAAACAATTTTATATTTTTACTTTTAACTTTGCTCCTCGTATTTTTTTTAGTTCTCGCAAGAAATCCGTTAAGCTAGAGAATAGAATATTGCTGAAGTCCTTAGCAAAAGAGGAAATAGTTCTTGAAATATATAATTCGAATATTGAGAAACAACAGATATTCTAAGCTACAAAGTGTGATCTCTGCTCTGTTAGACCGAATGAATCGCTCATTACACGATCTCATTATGGAGTTCAATGTATTCTAAAATCTAAATAGACAATTTTAAACCACATATATATATATATATATGATATGTATATATATGCATATATACATATAATGTATATATATATATATAATACATATGTATGTACATATAATACATATTATATACATATATGTAATACATATGTATGTATATACATATATGTAATCCTGGCTCCATCACGGTATTTGAATTTTTCGCGGTCTAGGGGCAACGCGACTAGGGGCTATTCGATTAAACGACAAATAATTTAGCAATAATTTATTATTCTAGTGCCTATAAATATTATACTTGTATGTTTATAAAACCGTAGCACACTAAATTATTAATTTTTAATTTATTTTACTCTGTACTAGTATGAAAGATAATTATTGTAAAAATAATCGTTCTTGCCAATGCTGTAGTCTTGTGGAGATGTGCTATTTTATTTTCCTTTGCCGATGTTAATCGTAATATATGTGAGAATGCGAGCGAACAAGGGAAGAAACGTATCACGCAATATTCGCTATATAAGAAAGACTTATAAAGCACTGCAGAAGGAAATAAATATGACGTTGATGATACTAAAAGTGATATTTCATTCTTATCATAATAATAAAATGCATGTATCTACATATAAGTAAAATTAATTTTGGAATAAAAATGGACTTTGCCATGTTTGATTGTGACTCATAACAACAGCAAATTCAATTCACATAAAATCGATTTACTTTTCATCTGCGAAATGATGAATTCTTTTTATTAAAATAGATTGTTTTTACCGGCCATGCTGATCATCATGCCAGTCGTGCCGGCAAATTCGAATTCAACTGCATTAAAATAGATTTAATTATCTATCGTGATCCGCAAAAGCTTCATCTTTCTTTCTCAACTGCGTAACACCTTTACAAAAGAAGTTCAATTTCAGCTTTAAGTGATTCTTGTTTATTTGAGTGTTATGTTTATTTAATTCCCAATTTAAGTGTATTTTTTATTATAATTTTTGATATACACATATACACATGTTTTTAATATACACATACACACATAAGTTTTTAATCATACATATCATTCTGTTAAATAATAAATGTCACATTCAAATATCTAGAATTATAATTAATTCTATCAAACCGTTTTCAATGTATCGTACATTGATGGTACAGAAGATTATGTACACAATTCAGTTTCAAGTTTCCATAAGCGATGTGAAAAACAAACTTATTCATGTAGTGATATCATAGACATTTATGCAAACCTCCAAATATTTGAAATCCATTTGAAATTCAATAAATATAACTTTATTATAAATACAATTTTCTTTCTTTATTTATACACATAATTGAATATAATATTTATGAGAAAAATTTGATTGTGAATGTCGGATTAAACTTGATTGCAAATCTATTTGTAATATTAAAAATGGAATATTATTAAAACGTATTGAAATTGCATACGGGCAATCGATGAATTTTGAATTGAAACGGATTAATGTTGTCTTTCTCTAAGGCCCGATTTTATCAATGTAAAATTAACTTTAACCTCAGTTTAACTTACTACTTATTTTTTTAATTTACAGAACTAGAAGAAGATAAAGGATAAATTAAACCGAGATTAAAATTAATCTTACATTGGTGGAACCTTAGCAAATTGCAGTCAGATTGGATTATAGTCGATTAAAATGGATTATGTTCTAATCGGTTTTAATCGAAATTTTTCGGCAGGGAATGTGTTGATTATATTAATATTTATCGCGCTGTACAGTACCAAAAGTTAAACAGATTATATATCTATCGTACATTAATTAACAATAAAAGCAACGTATTGTTTTTAACTTTTAACATTTAGATAAAAATATATTTAAACGATAATATAATACTATCATTTCATAACTACCATCATTTGATCTTTCATTACCTTTGTTAAACGATGAATATCTTCAATAAATTATCGCGCCTTTCTTTCAATTATGAATTCTTTGATTTTTTTCCGGCTTTGGCATTAATAGATGTTCTACTAATATTATTTAATTAAAGACACATATAACAATAATTATATTATTATAGAGCACGAAAATTGCGAATAACAGGTACAATGTACTTATTACAGTTATGTTCCGATTTCATGTAATTCAATCCCAAGCAGAACAACAAGTTACGATAATGTCAAAATGACATTAAAATGAATCGAAAATGATAGAAAAATGACTTTTAATGAAGTCATTTTGACATCATTTTGATATCATAATGACTTGTTCCGCTTAGGATAAGTTTTTTTGATGGCTATCGATTACAGAATTCATATCTTTTCTACATAATTGGAGGGAAAAAGACCGGTCTTCCCTTTCAATCTTCCGTGCCACCAACCGCCCTCATCTAAAAAAAATATTATCAGCTGATATTTTAATACTTAAATTGTAAAGGACTAATAGCAAAAATTATATTTTCTGATAAATACAATCGGTTTCACACACTTTATTTTTTTTATATCAATGGCAAAAATATTAGTAAACAATTATACACATTACCAACTTTATTCTCTTTTTACGTATATCGCTGCTAAATTTATTGTCATTTATTATGCAAATAAGCTAGGATTGCAATAACTCACGTTCTTTGAGTACTTCTACGATGTTGCCTTCCTTGAGCTCTAACTCGTCCAGATCCTTCGGCTCATAGTCGTATAAGGCTTTAACTTTTGGTAAACTTGGGAGTGCTGGTTTCTGGCGAGGTTTCTGAGGAGGTACTTTTTTGTTGGCTACTGCATACGCGGCATTGTCTTCCTTCTTCTCTCGTTCAAGCGCGTTGTTCATTTGCTTCACATTCCATTCTTGGGACGTTTGCATTTCTTTATTGAAGTGACCAGAAATCTTGCTGTTATATTCACCGTTAAGAGGTGGTAATCTGAAGCCCATAGGCTCGTTCGATGGTGGTGGCTCCGTGGGCGGTGGAGGAAATTTGAGTAAACCTTTAAATTATAACTTGCTCTATCTAGGTTCATTTCTTTAATATTTCTTTAAATGGAATTCATAGAAACTTACCACGCGGTGCAGCATTGGGATTATTATTGATAAGCATGCCTCTAACGGCGATCTGTTTGTCTCGCAGCTTGTTCACGTTGTTCATACCATTTTTCATGTCCTTTTTAAACTGTGCAGGTTGTACATTTGGACGATTCGGTGGAATGTGCGGTCTACTATTTGAAGTTGTTGCTGAAGGAATCATCACAGATCTTGCGGCTGCCATCGGACTAAGAAGAGAAGTCCCAGTCATAATCGCCTGATTATTCTGAGTTGAGAGGGCTGAAGTTATTAGATCGCACACCTGCGGCGGCAAGATGTTATCCACAGACATAGGAGGCTTCCGTCGATACGCCACCGGATTAGGTTCTACAGAGTTTTATATATTTTTTAATTATTTATTCAGATATTAAATACCGCGAAGTTTACGCGTGTATATATATATATATATATAAGATTGAAAATCAAGAATTATTATCTGTTGAAGCTCAAAACTAATCCAACTAAAACTTACTCATTGTATTCGGTAAACCTGGAGTGATGTTGACATTGAGTATTTTACTAAACGGTTTTAAAATTTGTTTATTATTGTGAATAACATCATCGTTATTAA